GTTAACGTGTTTTTCATGTAATTAATCCCCAAAAATACATGTACACTGTTTTCCGCCAAAATGATTCATTAAATTGTTTGAAATACACTATAATTTTATTATCTCTTCAATGATTGGATGATTGAAATTATGGCAAACATTTCAACCGAAAGGCAAAGAAGCGAAACGTGTTATCTAATGAATGCGTGTCCGACTCGACGCCTAAAATTATAGGGTATATAAAGGGCTGGCATTTGTTCACAATTTTCACTACGAATTCAGTCCTCAATTTGAAACTTTGAAAAAGTTTTTAACTCTTTTGTTGAGTCAACCCTTAACGCAAAACTGTAAGTCTATTCATTCATATTGTGTTCAAATGTTGTAAAAAGTTTTTTGAATTCACATAATTTGCTAATTTTGTTGAAAATTAATTGATTCGTTGCCTTCACTACAGATCCCATACAATGCCGAACCAAACGGAACAAGTGAACGACGCCGCCGACCAGACTCAGGCCACCCAACAGACAACCCCAGTGCCCAAAAAGGCCGGAGCGGTGCCCACGAAGCCGGTCGAGGGTCAGGAGCACTGTGCCGGTGACAAGGCCTGCGAAAAACAGTGTGCCGGACATACCGGTGCCAACGGCCAGTCACAAGCTGAACAACAGTCGTAATGTTTGGCTAAATTTTTTTAAATGACTTTTTATTTATATTTTAGATTTTATTTAAAAACCAAAGCTTTGTACCAAATTTTATACGTTAAGTGCACTTAATCTCAAAATGTTTTTCTATTGATTTTGAATATAAAATGAAATAAAATATTATTCTTTGAAATCAATACATACTTTGTCTTAAAGTTATTAAACAATATTTTTATTATTAAAACGTTTCTATTGATTAACTTCTGTTTGTTTGTTACCATTAGTTGATAACTCGATGAATAGTAAAATTTATGACTATTACATGCAATTCACAGGTAAAACACAGACTGCAATAAAATGAAGTACAGGTGCGGGACAGACATCTAATTTACAATCACTGATTGAAACTNTGATAACTCGATGAATAGTAAAATTTATGACTATTACATGCAATTCACAGGTAAAACACAGACTGCAATAAAATGAAGTACAGGTGCGGGACAGACATCTAATTTACAATCACTGATTGAAACTCAAGGCTTTATAGTTATTTATAATGAAATGAATAATAATTACAACTTTTAATCAGTTTTATATAAAAATAACATAAAAACTATTGTTTCTTATTATCAATCCTAAGAAGTGGTGTACGAGTAGAGCCGACACTACCAGTGCTCGCCTTGGGTTCCGGTAACTGTTGACTGATTTGTAACACGGGTTCTTGTATTAGAGGCAAGTCTTTGGGTTCTGGAGGCACGTGATACTCGGCTAAGACATCTTTGACGGTTCCCAAGTATGGTCTGAACTCGTCCTCCATATTGATTATCTGTCCGGCGATGTACTGGTCTTCGATGATATTCTCAATCAATTGGGCGAAGAGTTTGAGGTCACTATTGGGCGGTACGATCACACTGTTAGAGCGGATCCGATTGGCGATCATGTCTTCGGCCAACGCCAACACTTTGTCGTCTAATGAGTCGAACGAATGGCCCGTTTTCTGGGCGAAGACGTCCTGTTCGTCGAAATACTTTTGATCGTATTTTTCTTGTAAACCAATTATGTTTATAACACATCCGCGGACTCCGAAAGCATTGATCGGGTTGTTCTTCAGCACATCCACCGCCTGTTTGGACACCAAATACGACGTCAGATAGTTGTACGCTATGGTGGAGGTAAGCAATGGATTAGTGGATCCGTTGGATTGTCTTAACAGTAAGCATGTGAGGCATACATCTGTAAGCGGCCGCACAGTTGACCACAGCATCACATTTGGGATATTTGGTGAACAAGTCGTTGAGGAAGCGTTCATCAGTGATATCGCCGGTGATGAACGACACCCGAGACTTGAGTTCGACGTCTTCCTCGATGATAGTCTTGTGGTTAATATCTACGGCCAACACTTTGGAGCCCTTCATCGCCAGCCGTTGTCTCACTTGTGATCCCAATCCGGAAGCGCTTCCCGTGACGAGTGATACCAACCCTTTTAACGCGATTTTTCCCATTGTTTTGGCCATTGTTTGCCACGAATTGTCACCAAAAGGATCAAATGAAAGCAAGTCTTCAATCAAAACAATTACACGTGATTTGAATGCACGGACTCTGAGAGACATCTATTGAGTCAGTATTCGCTACAACTTATCGAAAAAGTAATAAAAGTTTTGCAAAACTTTTGTAACATTTCTGATAAGACTTGAAATCATAGTTACGTTTAGTTTACGAATGAATGAATAGTTTTATAGTTGTGGTGAATGTGACCATGTTCATTTCAGTTCATTTCAGTTCATTTCATACATCTGTCGAAGTGGTAAACGATTAAAAGCAACAGAAGTGATGGCGAGCGAAGACAAGTTGACTCGACTGGCGATCGTCTCTACGGACAAATGTAAGCCCAAAAGGTGTGGACAGGAGTGCAAGAAGTGGTGTCCAGTCGTACGGATGGGGCGGTTGTGTATCGAAGTGACGGCCAGTCATACGAGCGCTGCGATTAGCGAACACTTATGCATTGGGTGTGGTATTTGCGCGAAGAAGTGTCCGATGGGTGCCATACATGTGGTGAATGTGCCGACAGACCTGAGCCGAGACACAACCCATCGGTTCGGACCAAACGCTTTCAAATTGCATCGATTGCCGA